TTTGATGGCAATATCCAGGAATGCAGGGGTTTTCTTAATCAGGTGGAGTACCATTTTGAGGCCTCACCAGGGTCATTCCCCACGGACAGAGCAAGAATTGGTTATCTAATGAATCAATTAAAGGGCAAGGCCCTTGCCTGGGCTAATCCGTTGTGGGAGAGTAATCGGAGCATAGCTCATAATTACCAGGAATTCCTTGCCGAATTCAAGCTCACGTTTGAGCCATTGGGTAGAGAGGATGACGCCTCCACTGCCCTAATGCACATCAGACAAGGTAACCGGTCTATCTCGGATTATGCTATTGAATTCCGTACCTTAGCTTCCGACGTAGACTGGACTAACAATGGGTTAATCTCAGCATTCAAAAAGGGTCTCTCAGAGACTATACTAGATGACATAGCCGTTAAATAATTACCTAAGAGTCTTAACAAATTTATTACGTTTGTCATGCATATTGATAATAGGTTAAGACTCAGAGAAGTCACCAGAAGCAAGACCAGACGTACGGCTATGTCCCTAGCACCTCAATTCTCTAAACCTGTTTTGTCTAACCTCCCTGTACAGTCCGAACCCGAACCTATGCAGTTGGGGGTCACTAGACTGTCAGAGGCCGAAAAACAGTATAGGAGAAGGGAGGGGTTATGCCTATATTGCGGTAGAAAGGGACATATGATAACTAATTGTCCAGTGCGTCCGGAAAACTTCCGCACCTAAGAACCTTAAGGGGACAGATCTTAGGTGTGATGGAGTTGTCCTCTAACAAAAACAAAAGTAGATTCCTCCTTGAGGTATCTATTTCCATTGATAACAAGAAGTTTTCTTGCAGTGCCCTAATGGACTCAGGTGCTGCTGGAAATTTTATTGATGTACAGTTTATTAGGGGTAATGAGATACCGGTCAGGGAGAGACCTACGCCGCTAGCTGTAGAGGCTATTGATGGTAGACCACTCACACAACCGCTTATAACCCACGAAACTGTCCCTATTACAATCTCCATTGGGGCCTCCCATAGGGAGGAGATGACGTTTCAGGTTATTACTTCTCCATCATGTCCTATCATATTAGGGTTTCCGTGGCTGAGTAAGCACAATCCCTATATTGACTGGGCTAATGGGGAGATATTAGAATGGGGTAAAGAGTGTATGGGGAGATGTATAAAACCAGTACTAAAGAGATTGGATACTATTGACCTTCCCACTACCACTCCCCAAACTCCTGGAGTTCCCATACAATACCGAGAACTTCAGGAGGTGTTTAACAAGGCTCAATCCGATGTATTGCCTCCCCACAGAGCATATGACTGTGCCATTAACATGTTTCCAGGCGCTATGCCACCTAAGGGGGCAGTTTATGCCTTATCTCCCCAGGAGAGTAAAATAATGGAGGAATACATCAAAGAATCCTTGAGCAAAGGGCACATAAGAAAGTCATCCTCACCAGCTGGTGCAGGATTCTTTTTTGTTGAGAAAAAGGGTGGTGAGTTACGCCCTTGCATAGACTACAGGGCACTTAATAAAATCACTGTAAAAAATGCATACTCTATTCCACTCATTTCCGAATTGTTCGATAGACTTCAGGGAGCTAAAGTATTTACTAAGCTTGACCTTAGGAGCGCTTACAATTTGGTTAGAATTAAAGAGAATCATGAGTGGAAGGCGGCATTTAATACCCGTAGTGGACACTATGAATATCTGGTAATGCCATTTGGGTTATGCAACGCCCCGGCCGTATTCCAAGACTTTATAAATGATGTACTCAGGGAATTCATTTACTCATTTGTCTTGGTTTATTTGGACGATATTTTGGTGTATTCCCCTGATCTTCAAACTCACCACTCCCATGTGAAACAGGTTCTGCAGACGTTGTTGAAAAATAAACTTTATTGTAAATTAGAAAAGTGCATATTTGACCAGCCTGAAGTCCACTTTTTGGGTTACAACATCTCTGCATCGGGATTTCAAATGGATCCTAAAAAACTAGAGGCTGTACTACACTGGCCATTACCCTCTGGTTTAAAAGCCATTCAAAGGTTTATTGGTTTTGCCAACTATTACAGAAGATTCATCAAGGGATTTTCTTCTGTAATAGCCCCAATCACAAATATGACTCGCAAAGGGGTTAGTAGCACGGTATGGTCCAAAGAGGCTGTGAATGCTTTTGAGACTCTTAAACAAAGATTTGCCTCTGCGGACATACTAAAACATCCTGACACCAGTAAACCTTTTATATTGGAGGTTGATGCATCCGAGACAGGGGTAGGGGCTGTTCTCTCTCAGAGAGAAAGCCAGGGAACACCATTGCATCCTTGTGGCTACTTCTCCAGAAAGATGTCTCCTGCTGAGCGCAACTATGATATTGGCAATAGAGAACTGTTGGCCATTATTCTTGCCCTCAAGGAGTGGCAACATCTTTTGGAGGGTTCCAAGGACCCCCTGTTGATCATAACCGACCACAAAAATCTGGCATATATAGGGGATGCCAAACGTTTGTCTTCCAGACAGGCTAGATGGTCACTGTTCCTTTCACGTTTTAACTTTCTCATTACTTATAGACCTGGTTCTAAAAATACCAAGGCTGATGCCTTGTCCAGGCAATTTGATAATGAGTCAGCTCCGGAACAGATGACATCTCCTATTATTCCAGCAGAGTGTATTATTGCTACTACTGTCCTCTCAATGTCTTCTCCACTGCTTGGCACCATACTGGAGGCCCAGCCTCAGGCGCCCAGTGGTAAACCGTGTGATAAACTGTTCGTTCCCCTATGTGAAAGGGTTAATATCAAGAAAGTGTTCCATGACAATATAACTGCTGGACACCCGGGCATCAATAAGTCCACTGCCGCAATCACTAGATCATTTTGGTGGGATTCACTCAGGAAAGATGTAAAGGAGTATGTGCAGGCATGTTCTGTGTGTGCAGTTTCTAAGGTGACTCATGCACTTCCTTGTGGCCTGTTGCAGCCTCTTCCTGTTCCTGAGATTCCATGGTCCACCTATCCATGGACTTTATTGTTGAGCTTCCTAGCTCTGCTGGGTTCACTACTATTCTCATGGTTGTAGACCGATTTTCTAAGATGGCTCACTTCATTCCTCTCAAGAAGTTGCCATCTTCGCAAGATTTGGTCCTAATTTTCATACGTGAAATTGTCCGTTTGCATGGCATCCCCCACAATATTGTGTCTGATAGGGGCTCTCAGTTTGTGTCCAGGTTCTGGAGGGCGTTCAGTAAACAATTGGGGATTGATCTCTCCTTCTCCTCCTCCTACCATCCACAGACCAATGGTACAGCTGAGAGGGCTAACCAGTCATTAGAAGTTTATTTGCGTTGTTTTATTAATAGCACACAAGACAATTGGTCCGAACTACTCCCGTGGGCCGAGTTCGCTAGAAACAATGCTGTTCATGACTCCTCTGGGCACAGTCCATTTTTTGTCAATAATGGTAGGCATCCTACGGTTCTCCCTGCGGTATTTTCTGATACTGCCATTCCTGCTCTGGATGAGCGTCTGGCCTCCATTCGGGATACCTGGGTTAAGGTTCAAACTGCTCTAGGGGCTGCTGCTGAACGCTTCAAACATTTTGCTGATAAGCGTAGGAGTGCCAACCCGGTGTACCAAGTGGGGGACCGGGTTTGGTTGTCATCTCGCAACATCAAGCTTAAGGTCCCTAGCATGAAGTTTGCCCCCAGATTCCTTGGTCCCTATAGAGTGCTTCGTAGGATCAATCCAGTGTCTTACTCTCTGGCTCTTCCTGCATCTTTAGGGATTCCCAACACTTTTCCGTAAGATCCGCGCTTTTCACGCTAAATTTCCTCTCAAGCCTGGTCCTGTCCGCCCGGTGGGCGTTCTTCAGGTGGGGTAATGTCACATATTCATCCGCTTATAGAAATGTGGTTAATGACATTTACTGTCCACACAGGAAAAGTTGTGCCGAGCAGCAACCTAATCCACAGAAGGGTTAATGCTGAGCAGTAATTGTGCAAATGAAACCTGGTGTCATGTATTCATCCGCTTAGAGAAAAGTGATTAATGACATTTACTGTCCACACAGGAAAAGTTGTGCCGAGCAGCAACCTAATCCACAGAAGGGTTAATGCTGAGCAGCAATTATGCAAATGAAACCTGGTAACTGACTTTGGGGTCAAAGGCCGGTTACAGCATATCAGAACTAAAGGAGGGGTATTTAGGCCCAGTTCTCAGCCTGCTCAGTGCCCTGTCGTGGTTTCCCTTGTGGTTGTCTGAGAGCGCGTTCCTGTTTATAGTTTTCTACCTGGTTTTTTACTTTGGCTTTGTTTATTGACTTCTCTATATTCTGGTATCCTGACTCCTGGCTTTCCTCATCGCTGTGTCCCTTTCTGTGTTCCCTGACCTCGGCTAGTATTTTTGACTATTCTTTGTACGTTAAATCCGGCCATTCTAAGGACCGGTAATACGTTACTTATTTGTCATCCGTGCTGTACAGTTCTACGTGCTGGATCAAACAGTAATCCTGACAATGTGATATTCCAAATAAAATAGGGTATTTAACAAAAAAAAGTCATGAATTTCCCTGATAACAGTTTCTCTTTAAAAATACACTGCAGATTTAGATTATTAAACTTTATTATCACTGTACAATGTGCATTCAATAACAATGAAATACAGCTGACCTCTGAACAGAAATGCAGCATCAATTAATAAAAATACTATGTAAAATGTACTCAGTGCAAATGTTTTACAATCTATATTTAATACCAGAATTCTGATAGTACTTAAGAAATATAATCCTTCTTCATTGATACAAATTTTAAGCCTAATAATACATTGAACAGAAAACAAGACTAAAGCTAGTTATTTAAGTGATATACCCCACCTCCTAAACAAATAAGTGTGAGTGCAGCTCTAAAGAGGTTGTATAGATAACTTACCCCTCAAAGTTTAAAGGTTTGTTTTATTTACATAAAATGGAAACAAATTATACAAAATAGTGTTGGCTACCATCTCACCTCTCACACTTGCGGGAATGCAGCGTGACGAGCAGAGACCTGAGGGAAGCCGGTTTGACCCTTATTGGAACTTGTGGCCTGGTGACCATCGGGTGGGAAAAGCGGACAATCTCCTGTCCCGGAGGTGCCCTAAAGCAGTGAGAGGCACATACAAGACCCATTACACCCCTTGGACCGGTGGGGGTGATCCCAGTCCCCCCATGGGAGGCTATCCCTATGTTGACAGAGTGCAGAGGGAAGCAACACATGCTGTTACACCAGACGGGGACATAAAGATGGCAGAAATCCCTGTGCACTGTAGTTTCCAAATGAAGAGCACATCGATGTCCTCGGCAAATTGGACGAAACATTTGTGAACTTCTGGCACAAACTGGAGCACAAATTGCACCAATCTGAACCACTACAGAAAAGTGAGTACTCACCCCGACAACACTGTCTTCGGGATGTCGCGATTCCAGTAACTCACCAGGTTCCAGAGCAGAGCACATTACTCCTAAACACAGTGATGCAGAGCCACTCATTCTGGAGGTGTGTTGCAGAAACATGGGAAGCATCAGAAGCATCAGAAGAACTGAGAGAAGCCTAGATCCTACCATTTGTTATTAGTTATTAGCCTGCCCACTCTTGGACCTGGAGCCTTGAAATGTTCTCCCTTGTGGTGGGACAATGCTCTGCCCTTGAAGGGCATAGGGTGACCAGACTCTGGGATGGACATTCCATAGATCAGATTTACTAACCTGTACCAATACACCATTGATGCTCTTTAGCCCTGCTTCCCTCACACCATGCATCTCCCTTATCTTCCTACCATTATGGATGCCTTCTATGGGAATTAACCTATTGAAGCATTCGTTATTTCTTATGTATCTAAGTATAACTCTTCGGTTTTCTCTCAGTCTATTTTTCTTTTCTTTTAAGCAAAAACAATATTGCATCATCTAATCTACTATGTTCTTAGATAGCATACTCTTGCAACAATTTACTCCTGTTCATTAAGCCTTAAACATTGTGCATATTGTTCAAATGCCCTTCTTGCTATTTACATGCTTTGTAATTTCATCTGGTTGTTGTCTGCTTTTGGGACATGGCAAGGTTATTTGTAACACAATGCACAGAAAAAAAGAACATAATGGTGTTTAGAGTGACCCATTAATTTTAGTGAAGGGGCAGGTTAGGATAAGCTGTTTTTCCACGATGAAGATTAGCAGCAGAGCTAAGTCTCCAAACTTGAAGTTGAAATAATCTGTAGTGACATTGATGTGAACTTCGTTAACAGAGCTCTCTAGAATTGATCAATCCCTTCTGTTCACCAGACAGTGAAACATCAATCTGGGGCTGGGGCTGTTATATTATACATACTGTAGGGACATATTGCCTGAGCGTGTACTAACAACACAGCATGATAACACACAGGTGATGTATAATACCTTGTGCTTATTTCAAGTTCTACCTGCTCCTTTCTAAGGTGAACTTGCTTGCCTTTTTCATGATGAAATTTCTCTAGGGACAACCTTACAAGCAGCAACCAGGCTCTACATAAGCATTAAACCTAAATATATCACTCAATCTTTTCAGGGTTAAAAAATACAGAAACCATAGTTAAAAGAAAGGAAAAGTTACCATACCCAGACACTGAAGCAATTAGGCCATTCATTCTGTGTTCTGCCATAATCTTCCCGGCATCCCTGGTATCTACTATGGTAATATGGTCCATTGTGATGTCATTGGCAATGTGCGTGGCATCCAACGTCATCAGGTATCGTTGCCAAGGAACAATAAGCAAAGTGCCAATATTGGTCAGGAAAGACCTGGAGCCAGCTGAAAAACAGCGATTTCAACAGACACAGATTTTACAAATGAACTTAATTGGTACATAGTATGAAATAATTTTGGAAAGCCTAAGAAATCATCTTATGTACACAGACTTGAAAATTGTAAAGGCTAATAAATACATGTATAAGCAAGATGAATACGGATAGGGGATATTACCATAATAGACACATATAAAGCATCAATAAAAAGTGTGGATGCATATGGGTAGAATAAAAGAAAATACAAATGTATATCAACTCTACATTCAGAAATAGTGAAGGAAGGTTGTAGCAAGTGTAAATATCAGAGGGACAAGTATAGGCAGTAGGGATGTGCATGGGAAAAATATTCGGTTCGGTTTGGAACTTCGGCACTTCGGAACTTCGGCACTTCGGGAGTTCAGAACTTCGGGTAAGTGTAGGGTTAGGGTTAGGTTAGGGGTAGGCTTAGGGCAGGGTTAGGTGTAGGGTTTGGCATTACAAAATTCGGCACTTCGGCAATTCAGACATTTGGATATTGTGGCTGGAAGAGAATCTGTGCCAGCGACAATTAGTTCCCCAGGGGGTTGTGAAGAATTTGTGTAAACTTTAGGTAAGGTGTAGAACAAGCATGTCAAACTTGCGGCCGAAGGGACGCATTCGGCCCCAATGCACTATTGGGAACAAGGGGAAAAACATCACCCCTGTTTTTACAAACCTCCAAATCAACCTTATAGCCTGCTGAGAGTCTTGTGCCACTGCTGGATCATTGTCTTGTGCTATATATTTTCTGGATTCCTGGGGTGTTTGGTCTGAAAAGAAGACACAAAGATTAATAAGAAATAAAAACCTTTGTAAATCAACCTGACAAGAAAAATTATTTGTCTTAGATGTAGGTACAAAGTTAAGGTTTTCCTTAAAGGACCACTATAGGCACCCAGACCTCTTCAGCTCAATGAAGTGGTTTGGGTGCCAGGTCCATCTAGGGTTAACCCTGCAGCTGTAAACATAGCAGTTTCAAAGAAACTGCTATGTTTACAATAGGGTTAATCCAGCCTCTAGTAGCTGTCTCATTGACAGACTCTATAGGCACTTCGGCGCTTCTTACGGTGATTTTCACAGTGAGAAGATGCTGCCGTCCATAGGAAAGCGTTGAGAATGCTTTCCTATGGACTGACTGAATGCGCGCACAGCTCTTGCCGCGCATGCGCATTCGGCAGATGACGTTGGAAGAGGGAGGAGAGCCTGCCGCTGGAGAAAGGTAAGAGTTTAACCCCTTAAACCCTCTTGAGCCCGGTGGGAGGGGGGCCATGAGGGTGGGGGGGGGACCTATTAACACTATAGTGATGGAAAAGAAGTTTGTTTTCCTGGCACTATAGTGGTCCTTTAAGAGCCGTAAAGTGGGTGTTAGTATAGTCGTAGAAAGGTATAACACTCTTTGTCTTTGTTCACTTTCTTCACAGTTTCGTTGCGCGTCTGTAATTTGTCCTTCTTAGCTGTGGTGCCTCTTCCTGCCCTGTCTGATCTGGTGTTTACCCTTAAAAATGGCAATTCATTGGAGCTGCTTGCAGGTGTGTCAGTTTATGATGCTGTTAAGAAGAATTCCTTCTCTGGTCTGATCTCCTGCGGTTTTGGGTACGTGAATGTTGTTTCCATGAATACACTCTGACAAACTCGTAGTCCAGTATGTCTTATTTGGATTTATGAATTTTAATCATTTTCAATTCTTTTTTGAATTCATTAGTGCTAACAGCAATCTCTGGAGTCAAGGATTGAAGGTTTTCTTAAATTCTTCTTAAATTCTTGTTGCTATTCATTTTGTCTGGCTCCTCATTTAGACTTTCAATGGTTAGTGCATTGAGATCCAGAGCACATTTGTTTAAGATCTGGAGCCAGTGTTTAGATTTTTTTCTCATTATCTTTACACAGAGTTGGAACAAGTGGAACTCTCAATCCACAAGGGATATGCTTTTAACTATTACGTATTCAACTTAAGTAGATTGATGTAGTTTGTAGTTAATTTCCTTTTTTTGAGAGTGACTCCAGTCTCTTCCTTAGGCCTGTGGAATGGGTCTCTCTTAGAAAGGTACCACTTTCTGAAGCATTTGCATGGATAATGGACTCCAAATACTGAGGAGTATAGGCACAAATGTTAGTTTTAGAGTATATAAATTAAAAGAATCTCAGGCATTCACTGTGATATCTTCAAGGCAGTTTTATTGGATCAGCAACATCTCGACCTGTAACCAGACAGCACCCTGAGCTTGGCATAAATGCGTCTAATGGACTAAAGGACTGTCCCCTAGCACTCGCTGGTCCACTTGTCTCCTTACCTTCTTACTAGCAGGTAGAAGCTCCTGGTATATAGTCTGGGATAGAGAAAAGCTGTATGTAGTGAGTGTAGAAGAAAGGGAACATGCCACAGTGTTAGAGACACCAAAGTCAGCATTACCTTAACTAATTTCATTGTCAGCCAGTACACACAAGTTTTGTTCCCATACATTCCTCTTAAGTTTCCATACTTAAGCTAGAGTATGTGAAAAGTAGTTAGGGTTGCCACCTTTCTTGGAAAAACATACCGGCCTTACTAATTTGCATAATTTATTATGTATGGATGACATCACATGATGTAAATCACAAGGAGTGACATAAGAGAAAATGCTGTAAAATCACCAAAAAACTACTTACAGTTTGATTCTGCTGTATAAATGGATTGCTCCCAGTGTCTCCCTGCCCCCCAGTGTCTCAAGTCTCCCACTGTCCCAGTTTCCCTATGTATCAGTTTCCCCATTTCTCCCAGTGTCCCCTTGTTGCCCAGAGTCTCAGTGTCTCCTAGTCTACCAGTGTCCCCATGTCTCCCAGTGCCCTCATGACTGAGTGTTCCCATGTGTCGATTACCCCAGGTCTCACAATGTCCCTATATATCATAGTGTCTCAGTGCCCCATGTCTCCCAGTGTCCCTATGTCCCAGTGTCCCCTAGTGTCATGTCCCCAGGTCTCCCAGTCACCCTATTTATCACAGTGTCCCCATGTATCACAGCATCTCAATGCCCCATATCTCCCAGTGCCCTCTTTTGTCTCCATGACACCCAGGGTCCCCGTGTTTCCATGTGTCCCCCTTGTCTCTCAGTGCCCCCTAGTGTCCATGTCCCCATGTCTCCCAGGGTCCCATGTCACTAGGACACTAGGAACACTGAGAGACACGGGGACACTGTGAAGCATGGGGACACTGAGACAGGGGACATGGGTGACCTGGGGACACTGAGAATCATGGGGACACAGACAATTGGGATGCTGAGACACTAGGGACACTGGGAGACATGGGGCCTCTGAGACACTTGGGGACACTAAGACACCAGGGACACTAGGAGACTAGGGGACACTGGGAGACTAGAGGACGCTGGCGGGGACACTGGGAAACTAGGTGACACTGGGAGACTAGGGGATACTGGGAAAATAGGGGACACTTGAAGACATGGGGACAGTGAGACACTAGGAACACTGACTGGGAGACATGGGGGCATTGTGACACTTGAGGCACTGAGAAACACGGGGACACTGGGAGA